CAGCTTACACAAGGGAAGCAGTGAGAGTATACAGCATGCAGCTGGAAGTGGGGGAGAGCTGAAACCACTTAGGCTCCCTTGGGAAACTCTTGCTGCTCAAGAAGATTAACATGCAAATAGATTTGAGTATTTTCTGCTTCTTACTGGCTCCTAAAAATCTAGAGTTTCAGGATGAACGTCGTCTTCTTCCTTGAAGTCAGCACAGCATCTTCACTAAAGAGTTTTCTACCTCTGTTTCCTTATTATTTTGGTTGTTTTTGTTTTTTTTTTTGGTGGAATTGAGTTTCTGTTGTTGTTAGTAGGTTTTATTGGTGGTGCTTTTTTTTTTTTTTTTTTTTTTTTTTTTTTTTTAAACTAAAAGTTTAAAACTTTTGAATTAGAGAAAACTGAGATTTTGCTGATAGAAGTGTAATACAAATATAAGCCTAAATGTCAATTTTTCTGATACTCACTTTATCTTAATAGGGTGGGCTGTGATCTTCAAACTCTGTATTTCTCATTGTTCAGCCTTGTCTAGCTTTCTGTGTTAAAACAAGTTCTATAGAGTCTTCTAGAGAGCCATCCTCCTGCAGTTCTCAGGCACAGTTATGTTCTCTCCTTAATCAGACCACTGCCTTCTCATCCCATGCTAGATTTTCTACCTACTGTGTTTCATGGACTATACCATTCTAGCTTTCTTGTAGCCTGGCTATCACTTGTGGATCAAAGGACAGCACCATCTTTCTCTCCTTGCAGAAGATGCCCTGTGATCTAATCTGTGTGTCAGCAAAAATAACGGGTACCACAGAATGTTTCTTTCCTATGTGAACATGCAAATAACAGGAAAAGCTTCCATCCTACTAGAGGATGGTTTTCCAGGAAAATAAATAAATAGATAAGTACTAAAAAGGCAGTTACTAAAAAGATGTAAAGGAAATGTGAACTGTTTGAATGAAGTTGCATGCTGATGCATTATAACCTGTACTTGGCAAATGCACAGGAGACAGTGAATCCATGAGCTGCTCAGCTGATCTAATATTACGCTGCTATGGAAATGAAGTCTTTTTTCCACACCATCTCCATCTCTGATTTGTAACTGTGTGGTCCTATCTTTTGTGTCCTGGGCTTCTACAAAAATTGCTTCTACAATTAGCACACTAGAGCAGTAATAATGTGTGTGTGTATATATATGCACACATACACATCTTCTGGACTAGTTTATTGCAAAGCAATTTTGTGAGTTAAATCAACTTGTGGAATCTTGTCAGAGTTGGTGCCAGGGCAAGGTGAGAGGAGGAAGAGGCCTGTTATAAGTGAGAAGGGGGATGGCAGTGCCGTCTGCTCTCAATAGAAAATCAGCAGCTGACCCACCAAATGGGTATCACCAGAGTCTAAGGTGCAATTGATTCCAATGGTCCTTATACTTGGGAACAGAGGAAAATTTTAAGAATGATAGCAAAAAATCTGTTTTCTGAAAGAGAAAGGTGAAAGACACCAGGCACATCGCTATTTAAAATAAATCCTCCAAGAGGATCAAAACAGATACTAACAAAGAAACGTGGAGGATTAAGTTTCAAGTTTAGTATCACTGAGAGATTCACTGACAGATCACCAGAAGCTCTATTACTTTCTCTGGACATCTTAGCAATCTTTGAATGAGCTGAACAATTAATCAAGAATATTCATGTCTGGTCGCTGCTCTATAGTTACCAGTCCTGCATAGAAGAAAGAAAAGAGCGGAGTTTGCAACAAATGGCTAATTGCATGATGTTAGGATGATCACTACACAGCATATCCTTACTGCAGGTTTCTGGAGTCAGTTATGCTGTCATTAAGAACTGGTCATTAATATAGTTAGCTTATTTAATGCTAACAAAAATGTTGAATATTTTTGAGAAGGTATCATACAATGTAGGGTTTATCACTTGGAAATATGTTTGAAATATGTTGTAATAACAGATTTGTAACAACACAGATGCACTCTCCTAATAACACTCATTGCCAAGCTTAAATATAGGTACTAAATACTTGGAGCAGAAATATGAGAAAATTCTATTGTATCTACACAATATACTTACATAAACTGTTTCTACACACAAAGATATCAGTACGTAAGTAGAGTACGCTAAACCCAGCCCAGCTCTGGATGTGATTCAGGTTGCTGTGAATGACTGCCAAGGCAGACTATATTGCTCATCCCAGTTTCAACCTGCCCTAATTCCCTTTATGAGTTTATTATTTAGTGCTGGTTTAGTGCTCAGAGAGACCCAAACAGGAAGCGTCTGGGCGTTCTCAGTTCATGAAGTGGGTGGGATAGAGTTCTTTGGAGAAAACAAAATATGATCCACCTACAGACAGCGTTAGGCCAGCTCCCCAATTTCCTCTAAGTAGAACAGAGGCTTTTGTTGCCTTGGTTACTGGAATGATCAGCTGGTCAACAGCAAAATCACAGTCTCCAGACAGAACATCCTTTTGCATTTCTGATGGCAGCAAAGGATGCGATTGTTGAGGAGAAACAAAACAAAACAAAACCCCACAAAATGCTGTTAATCTCTGTGTCTTTTTTTTTATTATTAAAAAAAAAAAAAATCGGCGCCTTTCTAAGGAGGTCGTACAAGGTCAGTGAATGGAGGGGGCATTGTTTAGTGAACAGCTAGGCTTTTCACTAAAGCAACATTCCTGGATGTTTAATTTTCCATTCTTTTCTTAACAAAGATAAGAGTGAGCACTTGAAATTGTATGCCAAATTTCAGTGCTTAGAGAACATCAGTGACATTTGTACAGCCAGATTATGGATGACCATCTAAAAATTGTTCTCCTTCTCACTAGAGGTGTAGCTGTCTTATTGCTGTCATCTATCTATTCTTCCTTGAGCACAGAAATTGGTAAACACAACCAATTGCTTCCCCTGTGAGGTATAATCAAATCCAAATGGTTTCTTCTAGTTTCAAACACAAGAATTTCAGTGTCGTGATACTTGAGTGACAATTTATGCTGAAAAGGGATTCCAAAATAATTTTAAAAGTTTCAAGTTCCAAAAAACTGTTGTTGTATCCCTTCTTTCCCAGAAGGGTGTAATATGATGTAGTTGTTCTTCAATTATATTTCAAATATCCCGAGTAGACCTGGCTCCCCTGCTCTGGCAACTGTTCTTTTTGCAGCAGATCAATCTCCAGATACCGGTAACATTTATTTTTATTATTTTTGTTCTTTTTTTAATGGAATTCAGGTTTGATTATTTTTATCTATGTGAGATGCTAGTAGAGCAAAATGAACACCAGCGACAGCTCAGTGTAGCCTACTAGGATGCTGCGAATGAGAATCTCAGTTATGGTGAGGTCAAGGAGCCAGAATGTGAGAGTAATGCCACAGGAATACCTAGGCTAATCTAAGTGAAAAGGCATTTATTACCATATGACTTTGCATTCAAAAACTTTTGACATACTGTAAATCTACCTAGAAAGAAAAGCATGATTTTTGGGTGAATATGGAAGTTTCATTTAAATGAATTGAGGCTTTAGAATTTAATAATTAGAAATAATTTTTAAGAACCTCAAACAGCCATTAATCAACACTGGAGTTAGGAACTCAAGGATGCACTTTCAAAGATTTTTACTAAGTTTTTCAGTATTACCAACATCATTTTACTAGCATAAACTAGGCACATTAAGAGAATACCCAAATATTGATTATTTTTAACTGCTTGTGCTCTGTTCAGCTTAATATAAAATATTTCCAGTGAAGTTGTATTCTTGTACTATTGTAGTGTTTTACATTGTTAGAACTGTAAGATACTGTTCAAATCTAAACTTTAACTGTTCAAATTGAGGGATGTGGTTTAGGGGTGGTGATGGGTTGACAGTTGGAATAATGATCATAAAGGTCTTTTCCAACCTCAGTGAATCCATGTTTCTGTAACTCTATGACTCCAAACATCATAGGTGCATTATTATAATTTTAATGTAAAATTCTACATGTTTTTTATCCTAAACAAAAAAATTCAGCTCACAGTACCTGTCACAGTTCCTTTCAAAAAAATTGGTTACATCAAGGCAGATGTTTTTTCCTAACAATTTAGCAGTGTGTGTAGTGAGATCATTGATGGCAGAACGTACAGTCCATTTCATCTGCAAAGACTGTAAGTGAAACTGAACACTTGTGAGGAAGGGAGTGTTGGGATATTATGCTATTTTCTTTCTGGACAATCTATTTTATCACAAAGGTTCTGACTATTACAACTGCCAATCATATGAAGATTGACTGACAAACATTTGATGGGGAAATGCATGTTTCTGAGCTTCAGATCAACAGCCTAATGTACAACACCTGTTCTTATTCCAGTCATTGTAAAACTTCTACAGTGAACAAGCAAGAAATAGACCTTACTGTTTTTTCATATCAATCCTTTATAAAGGAAACCATGATAGGTGGCTTCTAGAGACTGCCTTCGCTGTAATCACATTAATCTGAGCAATAGAAAATTGAGCTTGATAAGCCCTTCTTATAACTAAAAAATAAGAATTTTGCACAGGTGGAGTGCTTGACTGGCCAGAGCAGCTGATCAGAAGAACTGCCAGGGACACCTCACCCTGTTTCTGGAAAACAAAGAATCACAGAATGGCTTGGGCTGGAAGGGACGTCAGAGGTAAGGTAGTTCCTCCCCCCTGCCTGGGCAGGGCTGCCACCCACCAGCTCAGGCTGCCCAGGGCTCCATCCAGCCTGGCCTTGAATTTCTCCAGGGATGGAGCATCCACAGCTTCTCCAGGCAGCCTGTGCTTCTGCCTCACCATTCTCTGAGCAAAGAATTTCCTCCTAACATCTAACCAAAATCTCCCCTCTTTTAGTTTAAAGCCATTCCCCCTTACCTATCACTATTAGGTAAAAAGCTGCTTCCCTTCCTGCTTATAATCTCTCTTCAAATACTGGAAGGTCATCTACACAATGACACAGTGAAAAATAATAGGAGAAAAATCTGCACAGCAGCATGATTCTGAAGTAGGCAGTTTGTCTGCAGCACGAACGGAGGCCGCGGGGCCGGGCTGCAGGTCAGAGCGGGCGCGGCCGCGGTGCCCCCGCGGAGCGGGTGCAGGGACGGCTCCGCCATCGGCGCACCTGCGGCAGCCGCAGAGCCGGGTCCGCGCGGAGCGGAGCGGCGGCGCCATGGGCACCACGGCGGGGCAGCAGCTCCGAGCTCTCTTCTATGTGCTGTCGCCCGGCGAGAGCGCGTTCGGCACGCTGGAAGAGGTGCCCGACTACGTAGAGAAGGTGAGAGCCCCCTCTTCTCCTCTTTCCCGGGGGCATCCTTTGCCAGCTTCTCCACCCACCCTGTGCCCATGCACCACCTGCCTTTTTCCAGAGGACTGGGGAAGATGTGACCTCAAAAGGGTGCCCAAAGTAAGATGAAATACCTTATCTTTCACTGACTGCAAGCTGTGTACTCTTCTAATGCATTATAAATGAAGGCTCGGATACTTACTCCTGATAGCAGGAGGTAGAGTTTTCAGAGGAGCAGCCCACATCTGAGTGTTGATGTTAATGCTGTTCAAATTGGCAGTGCTGAGTAAAGCAGAAAGCATGACACTGTCAGGCTATTCAGGCCAAGATCCTACCTTTACAGAAAAAGTCAAAAAGTCAGCTCTCAGCCCTTAAAGTTAGTACCACCAGCTCAAAAGAAAAAAACTAAACAAACAATTCATATTCAAAAGAAAAAAAAAAACAAAAACCAAACACAAAGGTTGTTTAAGAGAATGAGAACAAATATTTGTGTTGGGACAGTGCTGTCTCCTATAGCTCCGAGGCAAGAGTACAGAGGTCCAGTGTGAGAGCTCTCTTGGCAGCAGTGTGTCACATTCTCCCCTCCCACTCTGCCGGCATATCTGCTTTCATGGAGGTACCTTTGCTCCCTTCTGTCCTACCAATTGCACATATTTATCATGGCACATATCTTGAACTCCCGTGCAGCGGCTGCTATTGGGCTGTAGTGGGGGTGTTATGGGGTTGTGCAGTGCTGTCAGCAGCTTACCAGGAATCTCAGCATTCAGCAACCCACCGCTGATGGTGGCTATCAGCAGACATTGTCCCTTAGGACAGGATAAGCAAACCCAACCTGTGCACACAGTGTCTGGTTGAGGGATTGCCTTCCTCAGAGGTGTTGTGCAACTAAGCTATAATGTGATGGTCAAGGAGGTCTGTCAAGAGCCTGCCAGTTTTGCCTAGTCAGCTGATTGTTCCCTCCAGTTCTACCTACTGCCTTTCTCTATCTCTTTTAATGTTCCCATATTCCCACATTTTCAGCTGAGTGTCACACATTTTCTTGCCAGCACCATTCCTTAGCATCCCTGGTTTTTCTTCTGCCATAGAAGCTTGTTGCCTATTCTGCTCAGAACTTATCCTAACCCATTATTCCTGGTACTGAGCACACAGTTAAGAATATTTGCAGAAGTATTCTTAATTAGCATTATAGAAATGCCTGTAGATTTCTGCTGTTGTATAGCTCTCATAATAAGTTTATAAGAGAATGTGTATTTAGCAAAAAACTTACACTAGAAAAGGTTTCTCAGAATAGTTAAACTTCCTGTAATTGCTGTCTTGGAATAGTTCTAGCTGGAATCCGTCTTGATGTATTTGCTGTCAGTATAACTCTGTTGTGTGTAAAAGTCTTATAGTGGTCCAACTATCTCAACTCTATAACCTTGGTCTGAGCTCTTCTGGCTGTACCTTTGTGGGTAAAAGTAACTGTTCTGTTCCTCTCCAGCTGCTTGTAACTGTGTTGAGATGGTAATAAATGAAGGCTTCAGTTCAGATTACTCACGCTCTAAAAAACAGTGGTGATGATGATGATGATGTGAAACAAGCTACAGATTAAATTAGTGACTCCTACCCCCCCTTTTTTTTTTTTTTTTTTTTTTTTATCTGAGCTTCAGATGTGAGATTTAGATCTTGTCTGGTCTGTCATGTACTAGATAATGTTCCTAGCTCATTAGATCACATAATGCTAGCTGTGGGGATATGTACCTTCTGTCTTTAGAAGGGTGAAGGAACCTTCAAGTTCATTCGAATGGTCATTTTGTAGGAGCAGCTCCTTTGATCTGGACTCAGTCATGTAGAATCATAGAATCATAGAATCACCAAGGTTGGAAAAGACCTAAAAGATCATCCAGTCCAACCGTTCACCTATTCCCAATAGCTTCTACTAAACCATGTCCCTCAACACAACATCCAGTCTTTCCTTGAACACCCCCAGGGTCGGTGACTCCACCACCTCCCTGGGCAGTCCGTTCCAGTGCCTGACCACCCTTTCTGAAATTCTATGATTCTATGATTCTATGATTCTCTCACACTTAGTAGATGGATGGAGGGAACTCTTTTTGATCGTTGTTTTCATGAGCAGAAACAATTTCACTTCTTGTTGTGTTCTAGAATTATCAGTTATGCTCAATAAAGACTTCCCTGTACTCAGACCTTAGAGGAGATAGCACTGGTTCCTTCTGCTGAAAGCTCAAAAATGGAAACATTAAACTTTGTAATTACTGTTTTTCTTTGCTATTTACTCTTTACTTTGTAGAGCCTAAAAATTAAGTTCACATTTACACTCAATTCACATTTTTAGGCTTTGCTTCTAAATAATGAGGCACAGAACCTGCTTATTTAGTTCTGCGTGAAAGTTAAGATTCTTACATTATGAAGACCTGGGACTTTAAGAAAATAAGCTGTTTCAAGGCTTGCAATAAAATGGTGAATTTATGCTGAGTTTCAACTGAGAGTACTATTTTTTTGCAACTGTATGAAGTAAAAATTGGTTTAAAATGGTCCTTCACATTCTCTAAGTATTGGTTACTTGTAAGGGAAGCTCTCTTACTCGATGTAAGACTTTCAATTTATGGCTCAGTTACTCACGAAACCCACAAAAACTAACGTAAATCCCCTTTAAGCATTTCTGGTGATGGATGAAGAGAAAGAAAGTGGAAACAGAATAAAACATTTATAGATCAGAAGATATCAAAATGGGCCAGCTGCTGTCTCTGACCCAGGAGTCAAACAGTGGCTATTGCTTAATTTTGTACCAGTTTGCTTGCAGAGGCAATGCTTAAAAATTTTGCCAGAACTATCTATCCTCCTCAGGTTCCTTAAATGCCTTTATAGTCATTATAAATGAGAGGAAAAAAAAAAAAAAAAAAAAAGAAAAAAAAAAGAACCAAAACAAACCACCAAATCAACAATCAATCAAAAAGACTACTAGCCAAACAAAACAAAGCAAAAAACAAACAAACAAACAAAAAAAAACCAACAAAACAAAAGTTTAGGCTACTGGAAATTGTCTGCTTTTTTGACCATCTCCTTTTTTCCAGTTTTAATTGTTACCCTTCTGCTGTCTTACACTTTTTCCACTTGCTTTTGGTTGTATGGCATGTAACTTGTTGAAATCCTGACCTGTGAAAATAACTACTAGGTCTTATGTTCATAGAAATAGTATATGCTAGTCTTGATGCAGTTGATCACTTTGATCTGCTTTGAACACAGCATAGTGTGGATGTATGGGGGAGAGGTAGTAATTTCTTAGATACTAAAAGGTATGTCATAAATTTTACAAGCTCCTTGATGGGCAGGGGGTTAAGACTGCCTGAATATTTCTTTATCCTCTTTACTCTGACACTCCCTGTTTGTGAGTCAAAAAGTGCTGTCAAATCTTGGCTGCCTCACAGCTTCACAGTGGGAAGAAAATATTTAATGAAGTCAATGGGAAAGAAGTTGTATTAGTATAAAGTCAAGTATTTTAACCATTTCAGAAGTTACTAGGTAAAGTGCTGCATAGAATATAAGCATCATATATTACCTGTGTACTATTTTCATTTCATGAAAAAAGAATTCCAGTTATTCTGCTCTGAGTCCATTCAATTTGAAGTGCAGCTTCTGCTGCTCCATATCTATAACTTCAAACCTGCCTCTAGTCTATGCTAAAGCTGACTCTTAATATTGTGGTCAAATATTCCTTAGCTGTTCTTGCAAAGACCATTTTTATTTCCGCTAGTTGTGCAGGCACAATTATATGGCCTGTTTGATAAGTTAGGGATCTGTTGTTTAGCTATAGCAACTAAAAGAAAAAAGAACAAACACAACATTAATAATCGTATCTAGCTAGAAATGAAAGAATTAAAATAAAACAAGAAGCATTTATATTTTTCTAGAATCCTTCAATGATTTCAAATGGAGGGTGGCTTTTTATTGTTTCAAGTATCAGATTTACCACACTGTTTTTGCTGGGAACTGTTTAGGTTTTATCCTTACGTTTTCCTTTGCTTTCAAAGGTTTTATATCATCAGCTAGTGTGTATCCCAAGGAGGCCTTTAGATATCTAAAATGCAAGCTAGGCATCTAAATTAAAAAGTGCCATGTTGATATTAATCTTCGTTCATCTGTTATTGTAACCTAACCCTGAGCTGCTGCAGTTTATGAACTTTCACATTTCCTAGACACTATAAATCTCTTGCTGGTTGCATGGTTTGAATCATCCCATTCTTTTTTGACTGAGCAATCTGGTCTATATCCATCTTAGTCTCTTTGGTGTCCCAGCCTGTTAGGAATTCCCGGATCATGTCTCACTTGGCAACAAAAACGAGCATCCTCCAAAATGCAGTGGCATTTGCAGAAGCATCATGCTTCTTCCATGAAAATATGGTATAGTCACAAGCACTGTGGAGGGTTTCACTGTGTGGATCCACATGTCTGCAGGTCACTTGAAGGGGGCAGTGATAGAAGACTAAGAGGGACATCGCTGACAATATGCTGCTTCCAATTAATGGTGGGATAAAAACTCATTGATGTTGCATTTCTCTATCCCTTAAAAACATGGTGGGAATTTTATGCTTTATAATACCACAGAAAAGGTGACCTAAATTTTCCTACAGAGTGAGATGTTTTAAGTAATGTTCACATGCACAGAGATCTGATGGAAGGAAAATTGCTGCTTCCTATTTTCGTTGCTGCATAACCTTTTGTGGTGGAGATGGTGGCTGGTGGGGGCTGGTCACTGCTCCATCATCACTGTTTCCTTCCGTGAACTGCAAGGACTGTTAGGACTTCTGTGTCAATAAAAACAAAACAAAATCAGTAACAAACAAATAAACAAAAACCCCTGAATGCATATGCTCTGCCAATTACTTCTGGTCAGTCTTTTTTCATTCTTCAGGATGCTGATGAAAACTTGAAAATAGCTGTAGCCATCTGCAGTGATGAAGCATAACATTGTCATAGTAGTATTGCAGTCCTATTACTAGTTATGCCCATACCTTTTACTAGTGGGCGCTGTTCTTGTGTGTTTTCAATTTGTCTGTAGATCTGAGACTCAGGATATACAGTGAGTTAAATCCTAGGCTGAAGCAGTGTTATGACTGAAAAATGCTTGTCTCACACAATATTACAGTTTACTTCTCGAAGGCTGAAAATGATTTCACAGCTAGTGCCAACACAAAAGAAAAAATAGTGCACTTCATCATTGCTACTTGGTCTGCAAACATGTTATGGCCAAGGTCAGAATGGGCTTCATAGTTAGTTCACATAGTTTCTAGGTTTTCTGGTGAAAATTCATACAGAAGAGCTGTTGCTATCGGCAGCGAAAAGCATGGTAATAGGCCAAGTAGAAAAAAAAATGCTCACATTAATATCTCTTTTAGATGGTGTAATTGGATGCTGCATTCAGTAGCTGAACGCTATCAAAAAAATACATAACAAATTGAAAGCAGATTCTGTTTTACCTTGGGATTAGAGGTGTCCACTAATGTTGCTTCTACCACTGATTTACTTAAATATGAGAAATGAGTTTGGAAAGAGTTTTGTATTTTATTTTGTTGCTGTTCAAGAATTTATGTGCAGATAATATAAATTTATATGGCATAGAGTTATTATGCTGGTTGTATATATGAAATGAAAGACTAGTAGGTTGTGTTTGTTTGTAAAATCCATGAGGAGCATTACTGGATTTATCAGGGTGCAGTAGTAGCTAGAAAGATGACAGCTAGCCTGTAAAGGAAATGCTAAGTCACAGCTTGAACCAGTGACTGAGTGCCTTCTAGGAAGGTAAGGCCACCCAAGGAAGATCTTGGCTTTACCCCTCCCTGACTTCATTTAAGTGTTGGCAGTGGAGCTGAGGGCATCTCATCTGGAGATCTCTGCTTACATGAGGTCCTTACAGGACTTCTGAAGGTAAGCAGTTTCTTGTTTCTGTGCCCACTGCTGCTGTGTTTGAGTAGATCCTCACTCTCCGTGGCCTGGGACTTTGCTGCTCTGCTGTGCTTTCCATCACGTTATACAAGCTGAGAAGTATATGGTGACATAAGATGCTCTTTGAATCATAGAATGGCTTGGATTGGAAGGAACCTTAAAAACCCAATGCGCCAGGTGTTGGCCACCCACTAGATCAGGCTATTCTAGGTTGGCCCTTCCAACTTAGGGGTCTCGAATGCCTCCAAGAATGGGGTATCCACACCTCCTCCAGGCAGTGATTCCAGAGCCTCACCACCTTCTGAGTAAAAAGTTTCTTTCTAAGGATTCTGAAAAAGTGGATCTAATCTTGCTTGTGTTGTGATTTCTTTATTTCTTCCATTGTTTTGCAGAGCATTCCGTTCTTCATTGCTTTTATTGTGTTAGAATTTGCTGTCAGCTGGGTTCAGCAGCATAAATTGCCAGGTCGGATCAATGATGGCATAAGTTCTCTTTCACTGGGTATCCTATCTCGACTTCCAGAGTAAGTATGCATGTTATATTGTTTGAAGTCATTTTCAAAGTGCTTTGAATTCAGTCATTATCTTGTCTGATTTCAGTGGAGTTCTAAAAGATTCTTATGCTTGAGAGAAATGTTATAAACATGATCACTATTTCTTCTGTTCTGCATAGAAGTCAAAAGATTAATTTGAATTACTTCATGGTGAATGTATTTTAAATAAATGCCTATTATTAAATACTAAATATATACTAATGGGGAATCTGACTAATTCTTAAGTGCTTTTCAGATACTCTAAATAATTCTGAGGAATATTGTGTTTTAGATCTTACTTTTCATTATGTGAACTTCCAGATGGTAGATTTTATTATTTTTTTGTCTGTTAAAGAGGGGTTAGGTTTCTGTTTCCTAGGTGTGAATTTACAGATTACTATAATTGCATATAATTTGTTCATTACAGGAAGAAAAGTTTCAATTATTTGAATCTGACTGTATAATATATTTTCAGTTCTTTCCAATATTCCCACAGTTCTTTTTTGAATCCTCAACAGTTTTTCAGCCTTCTTAGTGTTGATGTCTCAAATACACTCCATATTTCAGAAACTGATACATCAGTGCCAAGTAATGAAGTCATTTGTTCTCTATTTCTACTTTTTCTTTCTCTCTTTATATATCCCAGGTCCATGTTAGTCCTTTGAGCCATCTTTCATCCTCAAATACTTTTTTTAGATTGTGGTTTACATTCCTCATTCATAGGCAATGTGTTCTTAAATTTGGCCACACAGAAATGTATGGATGATATATTTGATCATCCTTAAATGTTTTGAATCTGTGAAATGCAGTCTTCACTACTTACAGGTCCCTCATTCTTGTCATTGTGAATTTTACAATCTAAGTTAGTGATAAAATACATTTAAAAAGCACTGAAACAACAACAAAAATCCGTACTGACAAGTTATATCCGTTTTCTTCTTACTTAAATTCTGAAATCTGCTAGTCATCCACTTTATTTATTGAATGTTTGAATTTGTACAGTATTTTTAGTCTTTGTAACAAAGGAAAAGCATGAAGTCTGTGTTCAAACAATTTTATGCACTTTTAATAAGACTTGTGAACATGATTGTGAAGGAGGAACATTGAATTTGTTATATTTTAAGCTAGCATAAATTACAAATTTAAGTACTGAACTTGTGTGCACCAAAACACAACACTAATGAAAGCTTACTCTCATTTTCGTGCAGCTAAAACAGAGATAGTCCAAATATCATTTTCTTTAACATATTTGTATTTTTCTAGACAGTAGTATGCTTCAGATTTACCATGTTTATTTTTCTTATCTGAAATATTCAGGACAGATGAAGTTAAACATGGGGACTGAGATATGTGTGATGAAGTTTAAATGGTTTTGTGAGGTCTTTTGGCTGCATTTAAGGAATACTAAAATGCTTCAGAGGCACTAATTCCTGGAACAAATGCTTGTTAAGAAAACTAATGTTGCATGTGTGGAACGCAGCTTAGCAAGGTGCTGAATACTTTTATTATTTTGGCACTCAGTACTTTGCTGCAGAATTTGGCTTGTGGGCTAGGCAGTTTTCTTTTGGATAAGAAATATTTTGTAAGTTATTTTGAGTGAACGAAACAATCCTTAAGGAATGCAAACTTTGTAGGACCAGGCAAATCTACAGGATCAGGACACTTATTCATTGATTTACCAGCACAAGAAGCCTCATGTGGGTCACTTGCACTACTCTCTCATGGCTGGACAAACAAGACTCTTCTCAGTGGTTAAAAAAAAAAAAAAAAAAAAAAAGCTTTGAAATTTCTGACTGAATATCAAAGAAGCAAGCAAAAAAACAGACTTTCTAAACTATTTAGTTCATGTTAATAACAGAGTTCCAATAGTGACTGCTTAGAGTAGATACCCTTTCATAAACAAGAAGAGTTTGAAATGTTAGAATACTAAAAAGGCTTGAACTGAAAAAACAAAACAGTTTACCCTTCTGCCCTCTGCTTCCATAGTGTGAAAGAACTGGGTTGGAAAAAAAGTAGCATGCACAAAACCCGTTGCTAAGATTTTCACTTCAGTCTTTCCTTTTCAGGAAGAAAAAAAGGTAGGGAAAGCTGACAGAAACTGCTAAAACAATATTTCAGCAGAACCCACAGCATCAGGGGAAATAGGAGTGCAAATCATTAACAGCTGAAGGTTAGATTAACACACCATTGATTGTATCCTCTCCCAGGGACTAATTTTCATTTTCTCAACTAGCAGCAATGGTTTGCCACTTCCTTAAAAAAAATCTGTGGTTGAGTCTAAAATGGTGGGCTTCAGTCTATTATTTAGAATGAAGCTTCAGATGCGTCATTGCATGGAGGTCTTTAGATTTTATGGAAAAATTAGGAGTCACAGACCATATTCATCCTGTGAGCATGTTTTTCCATTTCACAGTCTGTATAACAAGTACTGTGTCTCTTCAGGGAAAACAATATTTATTCAGTGTTTCTTACTTCATTGTTGGAGAAAATGCAAATCATAAATTATTGATATTTGTTTGCCAAATATAAAAAAAAATTATATAGGTGCAAGAGGAAAAGTATAATCAGAGAAGGTAATGTGTTTTGTTTTAGACTTATTAGACTCTACAGCATACAGTAAGTACAATTGCTTTGTGTATACATATCACTTCTTCTAAAATAGTCCATACGTTTCTTAAATATAATTTTCTCTGCTTTAATACAATACTGTGCATCCCTCTGCATGTGTGATTGCTAGATTTTATATACAAAGAAAAGTAATTCGGAAGAAAGGGAAAAAATTGAATTATTAACCTTATTCCCTGCAACTTAAATGTTGGTGGCTTAAAAATTTCTGAGAACTTTATTCTAAGTAAATAACTAACTTCTTTAACAAACCATTGCCAGGAGGCTTTAAATGCTGCTTTAAAAATATTGTCCCAAGAGAAAGTTTATTTTTGATATAAATATCCTCTATACAAGTATGTGCATTATTTAATATTGGCCCATTTCTTTTTTTAAAGCAGCAGAACATAAATCAAATCAAAAAGTGTTTGGGGGATAACTGAGGTAGGTATATTTTCGAACTAGTTGGGAAAGTCTCTGTTCTTTATGGTCATGCTCAATTGCCAGCTTTTAGAGCACGGATCTGCAGTACAGTTGTAGTGTGTGTGCGAATTTATATGTCTGATGGTTTTGTCAGTCAAATCTGCAATGAACTTCCTAATTCTGAAGAGAACACTATATATTAAAGACTTTGTTTTCTGAAACAGGGAGGTTAAAGTTCTCTGAAGTGGTGGTGAGCATAAGAAAGCAGAAAGTGCTTTTGAGTTAGTTCACATTACACAGCTCAGATACTCAGATGCACATCAGCATCTGTAGTTGATTCAGAGGAGTACAAATCCTGTTTCTCCTATATACCAGTACAGTTCAGTTCTGTACAGATCTGGATTTCACATAATTCCAGAAGCGAGATTGAAGGGGTGGTTTCACATACATTTTAGGTCAAAACTGCTGCCAAATGAAACACCCTTGCCTGACTTGTATTCTGTTTGCTTATTTCTGTCTCTGATCTTCCTTTCCCCTTTTGCCAGCATCAGGATTTGTGTTGCTCTGTGGTGAAGTGGCCCAGGAAGCGCATTGAGCACCTTCCCCCATCATACGAATCTGAATCAGTTCTTACCATAGCTTCACAAAATCTTGTACCAGAACAAGAAATGGGCATGGAAAAAAGCAGTCAGGGTAGCAAGATTAGTAATATTTGATTCTTTTGTTGTAGAACTGAGTTACCCACTTCTAAATGTATGTAAAATTGAGGTCTGAAAACAGAACCTCTCAATGCTTAATTAGTAACAGTGTGCAGTTAGAATGCCCTTGTTTGAGACTGGTGCAAGCAGTTCACAACCCCATGAAGCTGGCATAGTCCTAACAGAAAGCAAAATACTCGCCTGCATCAATACATCCATTTAAAGTAAGTTGTGGCTTCCTAAAGTACCTCCTAGGTATTTCACTATGCTTAAGACTGCGGAAAATTATCATCTCCTAAGCTAGTGATTGTATCTCTTAGAAGAAAATTTGATATGTGCAGTCTCTTGTAAATTAAAATTTCACTTTAAGACTTATTAGCTACATTTTTCTCCACATCTGTTTGAATAAAGCTTTGGACAGCTGTTTACTTAGACCATGGTCAGATGTGTTGCTTCTGGTCCAGCTGCCCCCTCAGATCTGCCAACATAACTGCGCATTTAATTGCTCCCTAACCTGGTCCTGACAAAGTGATCCAGCTAAAAGCAGAAACAAAAGCCCCCCAAGAACTATAAAAGAGGTGTTTAACCTCAGCTGCATTCATTTTGACAGAGCTGGGTCAGGGAGCAGCTATGCATGCAATTATGCTGGCAGGTCTGAGGGCTGGTAACCACCAGACTTAGGGCAGTGATGAGCAGATGGGGCCAAAATGGGAAGGTAATCGCTTAACCTGATTAAATAGCAAGGCTGCTGAGCCCCTACACCAACCGTACTTCTGGCTACTGCACTTCTTCCTATGTTCACTGACATAGTCATCCCTTTCTCTTGTGTTAGTTAAGATGTCTATCTGATCCCTTGCTAAGGCATTTCAGATCAGTATAGCAGCAAAAGGTATTTGCTTAACTGCAGAGAGATAGGCAGGCGAGCAGAACTAGCAGCCAGCAGCTTGACTGGTTTAGTCTCCACTGAAGCAGCATACAACTCCACAGCTTTAGCAGCTGTCTATGGCAATTTGGACACTGCCTGTCAATAGACGTTTCCATAAAAAAATTTTAATAGATAACAAGCTTGAAGAGACAGAATCTACTCACCATCCCATTCCTTCCTCTCTTCAAATAAGTTGCACAGTTATGTATTTCATAATAATATCCTCCTGGCTGCACTGTCTCATATGCTCTGCTAATTGGTCCCACGTTTTGCCAAAGGTCACAGCCCTCACAGCTCTGTAAGAATAAGTTTTGATATAATAATTCTCTGTAGGTAAAGCA